AAAGAGGCCAACGAAGAAAGAGGTGATGAGGCAAGTGATGATGATGATGAGGAGGAGGCTGACAAAGAGGCCAACGAAGAAAGAGATGATGAGGCAAGTGATGACAGGAAGAGAGAAAAGCCTGCAGAGAAGAGAGAGGATGAGAAAGATGCCAATGAGGAGACAAGTGATGAGGAAGAAGAAGACCAGAAAAGACACCCTGCGAAGAAAGAAGATAGGCAATTTGAAAAAGGGGAGGCTGAGGAAGAGGTTGCAGAAGACTCGGGAGATGAAGGAGGCGATGAGGAAAGTGATGACGGGAACAGAGAAAAGCCTGCAGACAAGAGAGAAGATGAACACCATGATACTGAGGAGGCTGAGGAGACAAGTGATGAGGAAGAAGAACACGACAAAGGACAACTTGCGAAGAAGAAAAACAACAAAGCTGAAGAGGCTGAGGAAGAGGTGATAGAAGACTCTGGAGATGAAGAAGAGGAAAACAAAGAAGCTGAGAAGGTCGCTGATGATGAAGAAGGTGAGGAGGCTGATGATGAAGAAGAGTCAGGGTGTGAAAGTGAGGAGTCACCACATGAGGAAGTGCCACGAAGACCCAGAATGGAGATTCCACAGGACCGTGGACAGCCTCTGGAACAGCAATGCCAGGAGTTGCGGGACTATATCGACAATTTGGGCACATCTCGGCAGCCGTATCTGCAGCCTGTCTTCGGTGAAAACGCCACCAACTGCACTGAGGAAGGTGAAGATGAGAGCCACACAACTGATCCAGATGCAATGGAGGAGGTCAGGGAACGTCCAGAACCTAAAACAAGGCCAAGTCAGCTGAGGGGTGATTCAAAGATGGATGATGAGATGGGCGAGGATGGTGATGGAATAATTACCCCTGACGATGATGAAGAAGGTGACGAAACTGACTTGGAAAATGAAGGTTCCCCATGTCAAGAAGAAGAATCCAAGAAGGACATGGAAACAATGGAGGTGAATACAAAGCCCAAAGGAGAATGTCATGAAAGCGCAGAGGAGGAGGAGGAGGAGCTAGAGCATGATGAGCCAGAGCCTGGTGATGGTGATGATGAGGATGGACCTGAAGCTGCAAGAGAACATGCTAGCCGGCATGACGAAGAAGATGTGAACCATGAGCTGAAGGAGGAAAGCAAACATGATGGAGCAGGGGCTGGTAAACAGAAGGGTGAGCCAAGCGCCCTGCTTGATGTCAAAAATGAAGCAGGCGCACATGCCAAGACAAAAGCCAAGAATGAAAAGGCAGACCCAAAATCCAACGAAGATGTGAATGATCACAAAAAAGAAACCGACGGAAGCTCGTGCAAAGAAGAGGTTGTAAAAGAAGAACCAACAAATGAAGAGGAAGAACAAGATGACACGAATCCGACTTCATCATCCAGTTCTGATTCCAGCAGTAGTTCAAGTTCTGATGAAGATCCGGACTCGGATGGGGCCAGTGCAAAGGAGTCAGGTGAAGAGAAAGAAGAGAAGTCCGAAGATGGGGCTACTAAGGCTGAGGCTGGAAAGCTTCACATCCGCTACCAATACCCGAAGACCAACATCAAAAGATGGACTCGGACAAGGGCCTCCACCCCATTCATTGTCTCCTTT